AGCGCCGTTAATATTCTATTACACTATGCGTGATTAAACTTATATGTGCTTGCGTTGCGATGGTGGCATTACTATGAGTTTGTATTTTATTAATCACACTAATATTATAAAGGCGAAAGTTTGTTAGTGTGTATGTTTGTCACCTCTTCACGTCTAAACGGCTGGAGCGAGTTAAATAAAATTTGGTATGGAGTTAGCTAAACCCTGCACTAATACATAGGTTACGTTTTACCGTGGGTAACACCGCGGGTTATATGTAATTTAGGAAATACTAGCTTTTTCCCGCGGCTTCACCCGCGTGAAAATTAGTTGTCATAGATCGTTATAAATTTTAGCCTAGTTATTCTGGGTTATAAACAATAATACTGTAATGTTTCATTAAAATCCGTTCAGTAGTTTTTGCGTGAAAGAGTAACAAACATCTAGACATCCCGATATCCAGACATCCAAACTTTCGCATTTATAATATTAGTAGGATTAGTAGGATAATTATATGAGTTACATTCAATGCAGCACGTGTAAGTCACAATAGTAATGAATTGTCGAAAGTTGCTGCGATGTTGTTAAGTCATAATTATATTGTTAATTGGTATTTAACGTTTCTTATTTATTTAAACAACATTTATTTCAAAATGTGTACCGTGTAAAAAGTATATCTATCAATTCTAATTTTCGTGTTTTAACGTCTTAACTACGATGTATATTCTGTTTGAATTATGACGTACAAAGTCATCAATTCAGCTGCATTAACAATTTATAAGTGAATTGTTTTACAATTTTAAACAAAACGTGTCTTCTATCCGTTAATGACTTGACATTACTTGAAATGAAACAAAGTTTACAGCGATACACGTGGAGCAAGCAGAACGAACTGCGAGTAGGGTGGCCAAGTCCCAAAACAATAAAGCCGGACTCGGTGCTTTATTTGGCCGGATATTTTACCCTAAAAGCCGGACCTTCGTGGGCGAATATTTTGTGCTCTTTTTGTTACCCCTAAGTCCCCAACACGTGATGCCCTAAGCAATTACTTAATTTGCTAAGTATGGGTTAATCAGGTACTGCCTACATGAAACGTTAAGTTTATGTCAGTGTCTTCAAAACTAAACTATTTATTTTTTAGTTTATTCAGAAACTCAACAGCTATATTACATTTTTTTTTTAGAATATTTTTCTTACAATGGTGGCACTTAAGCTAAAAATGAGTTCCATGACATGCAATAATGTTCGTACATTATAATATCTATTGTTATTTATTCATTTATACATTTCTTTCTTTTTATATACATTATACTTACGCAGGGTGAAACCGAAAGGCACCGCCAAGCTTTAGGAGCGACTAAGGATTAGTAACTTAATTTATTTTAATTTAATTTATAGATGTGATTCTGTTGGTCTTATGTAACTATGTGCTACATAAGACCAACAGCCCACATAAAAAGGCCGGACGAGAGAATATTTGGCCGGACACGTCCGTAAAAAGCCATAAAAAAAGCCGGACAGGTCGGACGAGAGAATATTTGGCCGGACACATGTCCGGCTAAAGTCCGACACCTGGCAACCCTATCTGCGAGTCCAAAAGTCAACCGCCCTGCGAAGTAGGTCGCTTACACGCCAACAAATGCCAGTCAAAATTTAATGACACCCCATGCCCTTAAGGACGTTAGCTGCATTGTTGGGACGGTTAATGTTAGCCATGAATCATGGCTAGAATCCACGGTCCCCGGGGATTATGCAATTTTGAGATGCTTAGGCGGAATTGGTGCTGAGATTTTTGTTTGTTGTTTTGACGCATATCTTTTAAGGCACGCCACGGAATTTCGTATTTCAACTTATGAAAAACAACCGTGCGTAAACGTAAAAAATCGTTTAAAATACGCTGTACGTTGTATGTGTCAATATAATTGGTTTTAATCCATTTATTTAATGTGCAAATTTCCGATAATCTCTATAGAGATAAATAACAGTCTATCACAGGACATGGAAAGAGGTAGGTAATTAGGTATCATACACCACGTTTACTCATTAATTGTGTGGCATAAAGGATAAAGAAGTCATAAAATGCAATTATTTCTTCTTATAGGTACATATCGCAAACATAACATTATGCTGACAAGTCAGTAAATCACACACCCCATGCATGAAATGCTTGACATGCCTGACCAAACATGACCTGTTTAGATTACAGATTTTTTAGGAGCAGTTCCGATAGTACCATGGAATGTTAAGTGTGGTAGCTCATAGCGTTCAATACTTTTAGTCGTAAGTGATACTTATCTTAATTGGAGACTAGTTGAACATTCATCACCATTGGGTCAGGTTTCAGAATAAAGGATTTTATTAGTATCGTTTAAAACGCTTAAATACGTTCGAACTATATGTAAATATATAAATAAAATAAAACGTTTTATTTTATTTATTCATCATCACCATCTTAACTTAACTTTGACAAACGTCAAAAATCTGTCAAACTACATACATAAAACACCGGTCATCGTTAAATTTAGTTAAGTGGTGCAATTCAGCCTTAGTTTATACTAGAATAGCTTTTGCCCGCGGCTTCACCCGCGTGAAATTTAGTTTGTCACATATACTATATGTTATTCTGGGTTATAAACAATAATACTGTAAAGTTTCATCAAAATCCGTTTAGTAGTTTTTGCGTGAAAGAGTAACAAACATCCAGACATCCACACAAACTTTCGCATTTATAATATTAGTAAGATAGTACAATACAAAAAACATAAACAAAAGTCGACCGACAGACACAGCCCTAGCACGGCTGCCTTTATCTATTGTGTGGCGGAAATGTGCGAGTGCGACGGGCGATCGTGCTCCTCGTTCTGGCGTCCGAGCGAACCGCTTTTCCCCTCGCGCCGCATACCTGCGCGACGAGCCACGGGCGACGCACGTCTATTCCATTTCTGGCTCCGAAACCATGGATGAGGCTCTCATAAAGTGGATTAAACACCATTCCTATATTTGGGACACGACGCACCCATTGTATAAACAGATAGACGTGAAAGAGGAAGCTTGGAAAGATATTGTAAGAAAAACAAATATGGAGAGTGGTAAGTTTTTAACGGTTTATTGCATGTCTAGTAACGTTGTTGCGTTAATCACTATTTTTCATTGCTTTTAACTAATTTATCTTAATATCAAGGGCTTAAGTTTTTACTTAATACTTTTTAATAGAAAATATCACTCAAAGAAAACATTCATTTATTTTTGAAATGAAAGAAACCGGGAATCGAACCGAGTAAAATTGTTAAAATTATGGCAATTTTATGGGATTTTGTTTATTATTCACTAAAAAAAGAGTTTAAATTAAATATCTAGTACTGTTTTACGAGGTGAAATAATATCCTGATTTGTTTGCTAGTCACAAAAATCTGAAACTTAATGATAATGACTAATAATTATCACATTATTTTTGATAATATGTTATGTTACAAATTACAATATATGTTTTTTTACAGTATCAGCGGCAAAGTCCAGATGGCGAGGTCTGCGGTCCGCTCACCGGAAGGCAATCATAAATTTTAACAATAACAAAAGGAAAGGCACACCGAATGTTCGGGTCTGGAAGTACTTGAGTCAAATGAAGTTTTTGGTTCCACATATGTGTGACTTTTACAGAGATGTGACACCACCTCCGGATTTCTCGCCAGGACCGGAGAATACAGCTACAGAAGACAGTACTAACCCAAATACGACACCAGTGTCAAAAAGGTTGAAGTATGATGACGAAAACTCTGTGGATACAGAAAAAACAAATGTACAAAGTAATGAGTTATATACAGAAGAAGACACATCAAATATCCCGTTGAAATATTTTTTTGATGCCATGTACGAAAGCACAAAGCAAATGCCAGAATCTTATCAAAGAGAAATAAAAAGAAAGTTGTTTCACTCGGTAATGGTGGCTGAAGATGCTATTACTAATAATAATACAGTTACTAATCAGACAAATCGTCAATGATTAATTCTGGACCGCTAGGTTCTGGATTGCAGCAATTTGAATCCTCTTTAGATGCTACTAACGCAAAAGACGAAGAGAACCGAGACTTAAAATATGTCTTCATTGTAAGCGATGATGATGATGATTACTGAACTTCGTTGTTGCTCTAAAATTGTATAACTGTGATTAATTTAAGAAAAACTTACCATGGTAAAAACGCACTTATTGATACATTAGAGTAGCTTCTCTGTAATTTGTGATAGTTCAAAGTTAAAAACTTGTCAATGTAATTCTAATAAACATTTATTTTGCATCCAAATTATGGTGTTTAATTTTAATACATACATCCTATTTTTTAATTGGAGACTAGTTGAACATTCATCACCATTGGGTCAGGTTTCAGAAAAAAAGGATTTTATTAGTATCGTTTAAAACGCTTACATACGCTCGAACTTTATGTATAAATAAATAAATAAATGAAATAAAACGCTTGTTTGATCTCCAAAGATAAAAAGAAGCGCGTACTGGAAATTAGGACTGGGTTGCACCATCTTAACTTAACTTTGACAAACGTCAATAATCTGTCAAACACCATACAAAAAACACCGGTCATCGTTAAATTTAGTTAGGTGGTGCAATTCAGCCTTAGTTTATACTAGACTAGCTTTTGCCCGCGGCTTCACCCGCGTGAAATTTAGTTTGTCACAGATCGTCATAAATTATAGCCCATAATATGTTATTCTGGGTTATAAATAATAATACTGTAAAGTTTCATCAAAATCCGTTCAGTAGTTTTTGCGTGAAAGAGTAACAAACTTCCAGACATCCACACAAACTTTCGCATTTATAATATTAAGTAAGATAGTACAATACAAAAAACATAAACAAAAGTTGACCGACAGCACAGCCCTAGCACGGCTGCCTTTATCTATTGTGTGGCGACGCTCGGCGGAAACGTGAATGTGCGAGTGCGACGGGCGATCGTGCTCTTCGTTCTGGCGTCCGAGCGAACCCCTCGCGCCGCATACCTGCGCGACGAGTCACGGGCGACGCACGTCTATTCCGTTTCTGGCTCCGAAATCATGGATGAGGCTCTCATAAAGTGGATTAAACACCATTCCTATATTTGGGACACGAAGCACCCATTGTATAAACAGTTAGACGTGAAAGAGGAAGCTTGGAAAGATGTTGTAAGAAAAACAAAAATGGAGAGTGGTAAGTTTTTAACCGTTTATTGCATGTTAACGTTGTTGCGTTAATCACTGTTTTTCATTGCTTTTAAATAATATCTCAAGGGCTTAAGTTTTTTCTTAATACTTTTTAACAGAAAATTTCACTCAAAGAAAACATTCCTTTATTTTTTAAATGAATCGAACTGAGTAAAATTGTTATTATTATGGCAATTTTATGGGATTTTGTTTATTATTCACTAAAAAAAGAGTTTGAACAAAATATCTACTACTGATTTACGGGGTGAAATAATATCCTGATTTGTTTGCTAGTCACAAAAATCTGAAACTTAATGATAATGACTAATAATTTTCACATTATGTTTGATTTACAAATTACAATATAATATGTTTATTTACAGTATCAGTGGCAAAGTCCAGATGGTTAGGTCTGCGGTCCGCGCACCGCAGGGCAATCATAAGTTTTAACAATAACAAAAGGAAAGGCACACCGAATGTTCGGGTCTGGAAGTACTTGAGTCAAATGAAGTTTTTGGTTCCACATATGTGTGACGTTTACAGAGATGTGACACCACCTCCGGATTTCTCGCCAGGACCGGAGAATACGGCTACAGATGACAGTACTAACCCAAATACGACACCAGTGTCAAAAAGGTTGAAGTATGATGACGAAAACTCTGTGGATACAGAAAAAACAAATGTACAAAGTAATGAGAATACAAAAGAAGATACATTAAATAATCCGTTGAAATATTTTTTTGATGCCATGTACGAAAGCACAAAGCAAATGCCAGAATCTTATCAAAAAGAAATAAAAAGAAAGTTGTTTCACTCGGTAATGGAGGCTGAAGATGCTATTACTAATAATAATACAGCTACTAATAATGATTAATTCTGGACCCTGGTTCTGGATTGCAGCAAAATGAATCTAAAAGATACTTCTAACGCAAAAGATGAAGAGAATCAAGACTTAAAACTTGTTTTCACTGTAAGTGATGATGATGATGATTACTGAACTTCGTTGTTGCTCTAAAATTGTATAACTATGATTAATTTAAGAAAAACTTACCATGGTAAAAACGCACTTATTGGTACAAACGTGCGTTTAGAGTAGCTTCTCTGTAATTTGTGATAGTTTAAAGTTAAAAACTTGTCAATGTAATTTTAATAAACATTTATTTTGCATCCAAATTATGCTGTTTAATTTTCATACATCCCATTTTTTCAAAAATGTCCTTGCCGGCTGCGTAAATAGACTGCAATCCATTATTAATAACACACCAAATATATTTTCATCAAATATCTATGAATAAATTACGTTGTATTCAGTTAATTTCGGTCCATTATGCCGCATCCAATATACAACTTCGCTCAATGCGCATACATCCATGTTGTCTGGCGCGTGGTGACTCTTTCATGTTTTGGCTCGATGTTTTTGTTGTGTACGCGGCATTATTTTTGTTCACAGTGATAACTTAGTTGTATGCTCGGTAAGATTACATTATTTAGGTATTTGAAATGTTTATCAGGAAGTTAATTGTTAGATTTTTTGAAAAAAAAAAAAAAAAAAACAAGATCTGAAAAGGCACCATTTAAAACACTTGTCCGATCTCTAACGATGAATAAGAAATAAGGTTACTAGATGCAAGTGTTGACCGATAGACAGCCCTAGCGCGGCCGCCGATTCTCTGTTTTGAAAGGCCGGGCCAAGCGAGTGTGCGAGTGCGATGGGCGATCGATCGCACCGCTCGCTCTGACAGCCGAGCGACGCGAGCGAACCCCTCCTCCCTCATACCACCGCGACATTGCACGGGCGACGCACGTACTCTTATTTTACCACGCAACTATGGATTCGCTATTCATTGAGTGCGTCAAAGAGTATCCCTGCATATGGGACACGAGCCTGCCGTTATACCGACTGCTGGGGGTGAAGGAAGCAGCTTGGAAAGAAATTACAGAGAAAACAAACATGAAGAGTGGTAAGTTTTGAACCGTTTATTGTTGCGTTAACCACTATTTTTCATTGCTTTTGACTTCTACTCACTTAATATCTATATTATCTATTTAACTAAGGCGATTATCTTTATCACACCACTGCACCGTGCTCCGGCCAAAACGCCGCCACTGGCCACTGGCGTTTTTACATACCTTTTTTTTGTGGTTGCGTTTTGTGACTGTGGCGTGAAGCCCGTGTGCGGCGACCCTAATATTGGCCGTGAGCCGTGAAGGCTGGACGCCCTGACAAGTTTTAATTTAATTTTATAATTATTGATTATTGCACGTTAGTTGTTATTAAATACCTAAATAGGTACTCCTATAAGTAACTAAAAGTGACAATTTTTGAAGAATTAGTGAAGAATAGGGATGATGACTGGGTAATGAAATCGAAATTCTATTTAGTCCGTCAGACAGATAATTAGAAAATATTAGACTCATATTTTTTAATTTTTTTCCCTAATCGAATGATTACAGTATTATATTGAGTTGAAATGTCGCGTGACGTCACTTTTGAGTAAAAATTCTACTCAAGCGTGACGTATCGCGCCATTTCAACTCGATGTAGCACTGTTATTATTTAATTATGAAAGAAAATAAAAAATATGAGTCTAATATTTTCTAATTATCTGTCTGACGGACAAATAATTGAAATTTTATCATCTAGCCTATTAAGTACTAGTAGTTTGATTTTTTCTTAAAGTAGGTATTATTAATTTCACATTAATGTTTTTGCCTGGTATTTACTGGATAATAAGTTTCATTAAAATACAACTGATTTACGGAGAGAAATTAAAAATTTGCTAACTCGTTACAAAAATATACTGAAACTGAATGACATTAGTGATTAATTTCATAATTATGCTATTATTAGTAATAGGTTATGTTACAGTAAATTATGTTTTTTGCAGTTGCAGCGGCAAAGAATAAATGGAAAAATATGCGAGACACGCACCGTGAGTCAGTGAAGAAATTTAACAAGAATAAAAGGAACGAAACACTAAAGCACGTGCGAAAGTGGAAGTACTTCGATCAAATGAATTTCTTGCTTCCACATATGAGTACGTACATAGATGTCACACCACCCCACGATCCCTCGCTAAGTCAGGAGGATACATCTAATACAAGCAGTACAGACCAAGATTCGACACCGCTGTCAAATATAAAAAATACTGATGACACAGAGTCCACACTACTAATGGAGGATGAACCGGCACCGATACAAGTACCACAACCACAGATAACAAACGTACGGAGGGTGAACGAAGTAGTTGCATCAGGTGATGCATTGAAAGTATTTTTTGATTCGATGTACCAAAGCACAAGGCGAATGCCCCAGCATTATCAGAGAGAGATAAAAAGAAAGTTGTTTAATTTGGTAATGGAATATGAAGACGCTCTTGACAACACAAATGTTTCACAATCAGGTGTCTACCGAAACAATCATGCTGCTGATCAGACAAATTACTCTGATAAAGAAGCTTCTGTGGAACCCACCAGTTCTGGACTGCAGAGAATTGTATTCGAAGAAGATACTAACGCAGAAGACGAAGAAAACCAAGATGTAAAGCCTATCTTGGAGTTCTCTATAAGTGATGATGAAGATTTTAACTAAATTTTTTGTTGCTCCAAGACAGTGATTAATTCATGAAAAACTTACCTAAACGTCAAGGCTAAAAACCTTTCTTGTACAAATAGCTCCTCTGTTCCGTGTATTCCTCTGTAATTTGTAGTTGAACCTGTAATTATAACTAATTAAATGTATTTTACTTTTAAATTGTACTCTATTTGTTTTTTCATAATATCCCTTTTTTAGACATTTCTTCTGACATGTTAAATGAACTCTACTATTTAGAAAATTTAATGTATCTCTTATTGATACACTATCTACATCTATTTTGCACGTTTCTATAAGTAAGGTAATAGAAGTTTTCGTATTGGGGTGGGACAAGTGTGTTAAACAATTGTGCAAAATGAGTAATGTCATTTTTAAAGTCGACTAAACACGTATTTCAATTTTAGTTAATTATTAATGTTCATTAATTATCATCAATAGATTTTTTAATGTTGGCTTCTCATCAATCAACTTCTAACCAATATGAAACAATACTAAAAAGAGCATTTACACATTACATCATAGTAAATGTGATGTTGATGTCCTGTATCAATCAATATTTTTACCAGGAGGCCAGTTGTTATAAAGCTGTGAGCACAATAGTGATACTAGGACTCCATTAAATTAGTAAAATATCAATCAATTAAAAAAAAGGTTCGTCAACTCAGCGCTTGTCAAACCATCGTTAATTAGTTTGAATTTGACGTTTGTGATAGATGATCCCAACACAATAGGGACACAATTACCAGACCAATTATTGTATGAAGCTCTTATAATACCTGCCAATTCCCCGCAAAACGTTGATCGTGGTAATTGGCTTATTAAACATAATGGATATGATAATTCGTTGATTATTAACACGTGTATAACAAGCTTTTGTAATCGCGGTTTGGTAGTTATAATGATTTTAATTCAATTAACTGTAATTTCCCACTTTAAATTTGTGATAGGATAACTATCCTATCACAATTAACTAATTGTGAGTACTGTTGTATATTTACGAGTAATTTTGATGTAACTTGTCGATCAATAAAACTACAAAGTATTTAATTGAGAAGATCCATCTAAGTAGGTATGTATACCTACTTATATACCGCACCTATAACGTCATAATGTGCTAGTGTGTACACTAGCACATTATGACGTTATAGGTGCGGTTATGTTACAAAAATATACAGTCTGAAGTGATGGAGACTATTTTACTGATTTGTGAGGAATGAAGAAGAAAAACAATTCTAAAATTTGGTAACAGGCTAACAGCAATATCAGCAATAACTTTGCAGTGCGCAAAAATCACACTTATTTATGACATATTAAACAAGTCTCTATTTTAAGTTGCTTTATAAAATTTTAGCTTTTTATCGATTTTTCCTATCGATTGTAAAGGCAACTCTGTCATGAATCTCCGATATTTGAGTGTGTTTTAGTACGATTTTAGAACGTTTCCCAAAACGACGAAGCAATGCGCTCTCGGCGTGTTTAACTTGCCTAATGTAGGGCGAGGGATTACCATAGATTTTATACATTGTTTGCCGACGCGATTATGAGTTGAACTATTTTATTCAGGGATTGTGATTATAAGGGCCTACCTACAATTTTGCTTTAAAACAATGGTGGCAGTTCGTGATTTACTTTTCAAAACCAAGCTCATAACTGTCCGTAGGGTAAGGGTTTAAGGTTAAGTAAGGTTTTATTAGTTACCGATTTTCATAGAAAAAACTCATCTGTCACACTTTGGCCTAATGGACTATGAGTGAGTACTAGTTAGTATTCGGAGGAAAATACTTCACGTCTCTATTTGTTTAAGATCTGTGTGTGTAGCATTGATAAAAGCAGTTCACTATGCAGAAAAATATCTTAAATATTTGTTAGCATATCTTAACACAGCCCGATCAATAGAAGACCGTTTTTATATTTCGTTGTTTCGATCACGAATCGAACCTGTCTACCACACCGCGCCACCAATCCATTGGCCCGTCTAATTAGGGTGCGGGCTCAAGGATCAAAACTACTCCTTCAGTTCCTGAAAGCTACACTACACGCGTAAAGGGAATAGCTGATGCGTGCCTTTGGGAGCTTAGTTTTCAAGAACCCCATTTTGTTTCGTGCAAAGATCGAGCTGGTAGATTGGTAATTTGTTTTTTCACGATTCTGCTTTTGAGTAATCTGATTAATTTTATCCATGACGAGGAAGCTCTTGGCTTGCATCTCGCCTGATGGAAAGTCAAAATCATGACCAAAGGAAACAAGTTTAGATATTTAAAAGATATTATGATACCTAGTCATTTATTTTTTGCAATTAGGGTGTTACCTAAAAAAGCTTTTACACTATTAAATATTGTGTACTGTCCTACCCGGGGATAGAATGGGCTGCATCTCAATTGATGGAAAGTGATGATCAGGCCCAAGGAAGCGAGCTTAGATATAAGGACATAAAAGTTTTTTTTTGCAATAAGGCTGTGAAAAACAGTTTTTACTCTGTAGGATACTGTGTTACTGTCCTTCCCGAGGATCGAATCCTGTACTTTCAAGCCGATCTTGGAGGTCCAGGAAAGTTTTTTTATCACGGAAGTCACGATAAAATTTCACACTCAAATGAAAAACTCGAATGCGTTGTAAAATACCACCTAAAGGTGTGTAGTGTACCCACCGGTGCGCGACAACGTGCAGCGGTAAACAGTGTTCGACGCGAATGTTCCTCTCGTGAACTTGCTTGCGCAAACAATTACAGAATGTTTGCGAATAGCCGCGAACTCGTGCTAGCGGTGCTGGTCGAACATGCATGGGGGCTCGTCAGCAAATTATGTAGACTTCACGGATTTATCTACAGGGTGGAAACGATAAGTGATCTCACTCGATTGAAAGTGATGGAAACAATGAATTTTTGGATAGATCCAATTTATTCTGTAAGCTTTTGTAGATACCGTTGGATAAAGCTCGTGAAGCACTTTTAGGATCAGTACCTAAATCAGTTTTTCGATATCTTGTATAGTTTAGAAATAATCGAGTGAGATCACTTATCGTTTCCACCCTGTATACTTTTCGCTCATGTTAGCATCATTGAGCAGAGATATAAAGCTAAAATGACATTATTTTGCGAAGTGCTTTAGGTAATCCGTTCTTAATCTTATTGTTTCTGTGGTTATTTTGGACTCTACATGGGAAAATGCGGGCAGCGCAGGACCGTTCATTGTTGAAAACCTTGGGGGAGGCCTTTGTCTAGCAGTGGACGTCATTTGGCTGAAACGAACGATGGGAAAATAATATGTGGCCTAAAGCAATCTATGGCTCCACGAAATTAATCATCAGGTAATTTAGTCTCCAACCGAAGGAGCACGCCCACTGTAATTTATTAGAGGAAAATGAAGGTTTAACCTATAGTGTCCAGGTTGGGAAGGCCTGATTTTCTCATATTTCTCCTTTAGGCGTCTTTTATCTACGGCAAGAGTTACGCTAAGTTCAGAAGATTATTCCACACAAATGCTTAGAGGGTGACATCAAGTGGGCATATACCTTTACGTACTTACAATGTACTTCCAAAGGTACTTGTTTTGTTTGTAAATAGCAGTCAATCCACCTGGCTTAGATGACTCGAGACGACCCGAATTGCTGAAGGCTTACGTGTAACTTCGTCGTTATTACAGTTTTTGGATCACAGAGATTAAAAGATTGTTTTTAGAACGTTTGAGATGCTAATCGTTGCAATGTTTGCGAGATTATGAAGTGTGTCGTGAGATCGTTGGGTTTAGGAAATCCGGGTTTAGTGGTACAGTAGAGACAGGAGACACATTTCTGTTGAAAAATCACACCTATTGCAAGTGCTTAAGATGTCACAGTGTTTAGCAAGATTATGTTGTCGTACTTAATGAAGAAGTAAATTAAGCGCTATTTTGAAACAAAAATGTAGATGTTGACTGTACTATCTGTCAAACTCGATCGTTATTATTGCAATAATTTGCAATGCACTTTACGAATTTGATCATTGATTTTTCAGTTTTAATTATCATGATTAGAGCGAAGGTTACTAAATTATTGGAAACTGAATATGTACTTAAGATTATGTTTTAGTTAGATAAAATTCGTAAGATTATGTGATATTAGATTCATAAAATTAATAATATTTTCTTTTCTTGTTACAGGTATGTCCTACATACTAATTACCTAAGCGTAATTAAGACAAAAGTTCCAGTTGAAAGCCTACATTGGTGAGTTTATTTTTAAACATATGTTTAACATCTTGCCTCTTCATGTCACACTAATAAAATTTGTAAGTTACGATGAAAAAAATGCTCAAACATATTAGGTCCGAAACATAGTAATTGGATCGGACGCGTTACGAAAATGAGATTTTATCTTTGACACACAACTACTGGAGTTATAGTTGAGTAGGGTAAAGACTACAGTGGGCTATAAATTTATGTCGATCATACGTAACAATAACTATCTTGCCTAGATTTAATTCTAAACACACTTTAAACTCTATTTCTAACCTAAACGGTACGTTCATGTTTTCCATTCAAATTGTAGACTGGAAAAGGTGACCTACATCTTTCTCCAAGTCCCAATTACTTAATCTCTACCACTATTCAAAATTGGTTCAGTGTATATTTTATAGTACAAAGATTTTAACGTCGACTTGGATAGAGCGCCAAAATTATAGTCTCTCTAGATTGTCTCTCAATTAATCCAACTCAGTCGATAAATTTTAATCGTTTCAGGTGAAACTGGATTTTTTCACCGTTTACTTATCTTTTTGAAGATTTCAAGTGAGCTTACCGCGTATGTGTGGAGCAGTACTCAGGTAGCGAGGCGAAATCGAGCTCGTTATCGTGTGCTCGAAACTCCGCCACTGGCCTAGCTTCTCTCGATGCCAGGATTACCCCCCGGATTACCCGACTCCCGAATTTCGGGAAAGTGGAAATTCATTCACTCCCTCACTTTCAACGCACAATTATATTATTTTTACTCCGTTTTCGAAACGCTAAGAGCCAATTAAAATTTTTAAGATAAGGGATGAATGATTAAGAGCTGTTTCGTGTTCGTTTAGGAGTTTTATGAAGTTTTTCATTTGATTGTTGAGAGTTTAGGCGAGTTTAGAATCGGCTGAGTCGACGGGTTGAGTTAATCGCGTTACGTTATAATTGCGTGTTTGGTCAAAGTTGCGTTAACTTGCGTTTCAAAAGTGAAAAATCGAAGGGAATTCAAAACGGTTTGCTCCACGCATGCGTCACGTGTCCGGGGTCCCGGCTAGTGGCTTAAGTAAACATGCTGTAATATGGGTTCAAAACTCGCGGGGCGGTCGCGGCAATGTTTTGATTAATCAATCAAGCGTCCAAGTGGTGGGTGTTAAGGTACCCCTTCGAGTTAGCGCGAAGATACACAAACATCAATCAAGTGCGAGTCGGCCGTCAGCTGTGCGGGTCGACGACCGCAGGGCGCGTGACGTCACGGCCCTGCCGCGCCCTCGGCTCCCCCACGCCCCGCCACCCGCCCCGCCCTCTGAAGGACAATTATTTGCAGGATACCATTCATCACGGAACCGCGCGAATCCAGTTTTTGTACCGCGTGACGTAACATCACAACACTTGGGGCTTAGGACTTCCTCAATGTGTAGTAAAAGGTCAACAAATATAGTGCGCGGGGAAGAATAGTGTCTAGGGAGAAGCGTTTTCGGTTTATTCGGTCGATTGCTGAAATAATAAGAAACAAAAATAGTAAAAATATTTTGAGAACTTCAGTTTTTTTTTACAGTTCTTAAACTGTTTAAACAAATAACTTTAACTTTGCATGTGGCCTCGCTTGACTGGTTTTCGATTTACCACAAAGACTATCGCGCGTCCCCCGGGAATGTGGATGTTCCCAGGGCAAAAGTATGTCAATCGGGAAAAGTGTAGCTATCGGGGAAAAGTTTTCAGAAACGGATCGGTTGTTTCGGAAAAGTTCCTTAACAACTTAAATACGTATGACATTATGTGTACGAAAAAAAACAGTTAGGTATTTATAAATCAATCGATAAAAATTAATGTTTATTGTTTACTCAATTCAGAACATACCCTTCTTTGTGAGTTATTATTGTGAGTATTTTTTGGTACATTGGCTCAAAAGAAATTAGGAATGGTAGAGTCTAAGATTTACTTTTATGTTATTTGTTACTTTAGCTCTACTTTCCTGAAATCTAGGCCTCCCTGCAGAACTCTCCATGTGAATAAGAAATCTAGATAACAATAGAATGTAGATTGAGTGAAAGCGAACAAATTGAAACCTGGAAGAAACTTTTTGGTGCCTCGTAAAAAACAAAATCGTAAAATTGTGACGCCACGTTTTCGTAAACGTTGCCTTGATTAGTTCATTAACTAGCTGACCGATTGTTAACTCAGAATCAGAATATTCAAATCTCAAGCCCAGGTGACACCAAATGAATCACCTCCGTATTTCATTAGCTTTTATTGTAAATTAGACGATTTCAAAACTAATTAAAGGAGTCAACGGCCACATTTGCATTTAGTCGTAGTAAGCTCAGCGTAATGAAAGAATTTTACGACAGTTAACGAAGAATTGCCTACCAAGTTTATTTTCTTGGAAGTAGATTAATCGTTTGCATAAATTATGAAAAATCGTATTTCGAGGAAATTACTCCGCCTGCGAATCTTTCTTGTTTTTTAATATTTAATTACAAACATTAATAAACGCTGGCCGTTAAAGTGAAGTTCGTGAAAATAAAAAAGAAAAACAATTGAAAAACATTTTTCCATTTACAAAAAACGTTGAAATGCGGTACCACCATAAAAATCGGTAGTCAAACGAGAATCATCCGAGTTTATGTCACCCGAGAGAGTTCAGTTCGAGTTCATTGCACACATTATCGTGGGCACAGACTTCGCGGATTCAAGCATTTCAAACACGTGTACGATTTAACCGTGAGCGAGGTACGTTTTTTATTTCAAAAACATTCTAGAATGTTCCGTGAAACAAGAAATATGTCGGAAGGCTTTTTTTACCTTTTTTGCTTTGTAACCTTAAGTTTTATGTATTTTAAGGATCTGGATAAATGTTTCAAAAACTCAAAAAACTTATTGTTCAACAATGTCTTGCTTGTTTCTTCACTGAAAGTGCAATATTAAGCCCCATTCAAACAAAAACAACGGTAGAGCGTGTAAGGATAGCGAATTCGATCTATGTTAATACCGTTGAATAAAAACTTGCAAGTAATCCCAGAGAAAGAGCCGTGATCCAATGGCGCACTGACACACTTACTGACCGTATCAACTTGTGGTATCGCTGACACATCGCCCCCTCTGTCAGGTGCTACGTGTCAGAAAAAGCTAGATATATTATGTGATCCTTGATTTGTAATTTAGAACAGTGTGACATCAGTTTTTTGTGCGCTACTCGAGCAGTCGTGGTTAATGGGGAATAAAAAACTTATGGTGATTCTAGTAGGGTTATTTACTACCTACGTAAAGTTTTGAGTGACGAAAAAAGCTATTAAGTTACAAAATGGTTACTTTTTAGAACTGATGTTACGCGTAAGTTAGTCTTACAAGTTGTTCTTGAACACAAATAGGTACTTGAAGGATGTTCTTTAATATCTTAAACGCAGAAATTGAAGCGGTTTGCTCCAAATTTTTTGTAGGCAGCCTGAATTTACCACTTACCTATATTACATAAAGAAATGAAACTCAGCCCTAAGTAATGGAAACTTCAACGCGAAGCTGTAAAAAGTTTGTGTTTAACGTAAGAAAATCGTCGACTCGCCATTTGTGAGTAGATTGTGAGCGTCGGATGTTTTCGCAGGTAGCCATTCTCCGGGTTACGCAACACGCGTGACTTCACCGCGTAATGTTGCCATGGTGGAGGAAAACAATGATTGGTTATTTTTTTGCCCGTCGTGAGGCTGCATTGATCGTAATCCGAGGAGAAGGCATGGCTCACTCGTGGCCGCTCGCTGCGTAACCTTGCGTACGATGATAAACAGATGACGTCACGCGCTATTTATAACCATGTTTGTGTCGAGAGCGCGGGTGCGAGCGTGCGCGTGCGCGGGGTCAACGCCCTACGCGCGTATCTGAACCAATCTGAAAGTCGACTACGAACGATACGCTCCGTTCGGCCTTTTGCCGATTTCTACAAACTGCGACGTAACTTCTGCCACTTTGCTGCACTGTTGAGTAAACTTTAGCCGAGCGCCATAGTGGAGGAGTTTCGCTTAGGTTTATTACGAGCTGATGTCTACAAGTTACGCTTAGGTTAACAACTTAGATTAATAAAACCTAGATAGATAGTCAGTGCACGAAAGGTGAGGCAGATTTTAGTAAGCCAGAATGGCTTACTCGTAAACGTCACATGAACTGTCAAAGTGAAAAATTGGTAAACACGTCCGACGACTTTTAATTAATTAAGACGGTTTGTGCTGTGAAAGGGTGTCTAAATACATCAGAAAACCTAAAGAAAGTGACCAGAGTTACATTTCATAAGTAAGTACTACGATTCGACGCGTATTTTGCTTGAATTTGGCTTTCAAAAATTAAATACGGGAATGATACCAGTAACAAGAAAATTTATTTCCCAATTGTTCGCCGTACAAATACACTTTCTTTTTTATGAAATCGAGACTTTTCAGTCGATTTATCTTATTGTAATTAGGTAGGTACTTTGAATTCAATAAATAAGTAAGTACATGATGCGTTTTGTTTTTGTTAGTTATAAAATAATTAAAAACGTATTAAAAATTTCCCTACTTTCGGGAAAATCGCCTTCACTGTCTACACTCCCCAACAAAATTGACACTAATGACATAAGATTTTTGCCTCACTCTTGACAAAGCGTTTGTATGAAGACTATCCATCTAGGTTTTATTAATCTAAGGTTAACAACCTGTAAGGTTAACGTGAGACGTGGATATTATTTTGAATGATTCAAACGAGTTGATTGTATAAGTTTCTACCGTGTTACGTGTTACGTACTCGTAAACACGCTTAGTTCTCAAATGAGTGTTGATTGGAGTTTTGAAACATGATTTTTGTATGAAATTTATTTATTCACGTGTTAAACATGCCTGTTTCGTCATAATAAATTATGTAAGCAATACGCTTCAAGCTCGGAAACGGAGTGAGCGTCTGTTGAATAACACTCGCTGCAGCGGCTGTGTACGAATCGAAAATTTGAAACTCAATGAAAATGCCGATGGATAGTAGCTCATAAGGAT